CCTCTTGGTCTGTATAAAGGTGCACAGAAGTTGGTAGAATTCAATTTCTTCATCATTAGTTTTGCTGGTTGGTCATTATGAGTCGGAACCAACTTGAGGGTACCTATCAAGAACAATATCTGACAGTGTTCTGCTGCCATTCGTAAGGTTTTCAGTGTGTCACCATTCAGAAGTGGTCCTCCACCTCTCCTTCTTCCTAGTCTTTCTTAGTCTGTAAACTGCAGAAAGCTATGCGCTGTGAGTATCCCTGCTGGTATTTTAAATCCTGCTGGTGTAGTTTCCAACATCACAGCAGTACGCAAGCCCCCACAGTATGACAAACTGATAGACAAGTGGTGGTCTTAAGCATAGTAGAAAATATTTGTGAAATGAGTGAGTAAAAAAACATTTCAATAAGAATCTGGGAGTTTCTGTTTCAGTAAAATACCAAACTGATAGTGATAAAACATAGAAACCTATCAGAAATTGTGAATGAGCAGAAACATGGCATTGTGCTTTTTTGTCAGAAAATTTGAAATACTGTATTTAAAACGGGTAATGACCCAAAATGCATCTATGAGGCAATAGAAAATGGAAGACTATGGCAAAAACAAGAAAGATAATGAGAAAATACTGTGTAGTTACAGAAGAATTTCTGGTATGTTATTAATGAACAGGTGGTCTCTGTGAGAACGGATTTGAGATGGAAGAGCCAGTCCTTATGGAGAAATCTCAGAGAACCAATAATGTTGAATGTATGCATTTTTGTGAAGAATGGTTATTCCAGAATATTTACTGTGCTTGTGAGCAACCTGTACATAGACCAAGAGGCAGTCGTTAGAACAGAGCAAGGGGGTACTGTTTTTAAAATCTGGTTTAAAATCTGGAAAGGTGCGTGCCAAGGTTATATACTTGCACCATGCTTATTCAATTTGTATGCATAGCAAAGTATCCTAAAAGCTGGATTATGTGACAAAGAACATGGCATCAGGATTGGAGGAAGACTCCTTAACAACCTACAAAATGCAGATGATACAACCTTGCTGGCTAGAAGCGAAAGAACTTTAAATGTGTAATGATGATGATCAAAGACCACAGCCTTTAGTATGGATTGCACCTCAATGTGAAGAAAACAGAAGTTCTCACAACTAGACCAGTAAATAACATCATAATACATGGAGCAAAGATTGACGTTGTCATAGACTTCATTTTGCCTGCATCAGAGTCCTGGTGTGGCGCTGTGGGTTAATGCGCTAGACTGCAAAGTCGGTTGGAACTGAAAGGTCGGCAGTTCAAGCTCACCAGTTCCTCCTCGGAAATCCTATACAGGGTCGCTATTAGTCAGAACCGACTTGACAGCACTTAACAACAACAACAACAATACTCATAGAAGCAACAGTCAAGAAATCAAATTTGCTTTTAGGCAAATCTGCAGAAGACCTCTAAAATGTGTTAAATAGCAAACCTGTCAGTTAGCAAAATTCTTGAAAGTGTTCAAGGGCAAAGATAGCAGTTTGAGGACTAAGGCACGCCTGACCCAAGGCAAGGTATTTTCAGTCACCTCAAATGCAAGTGAAAGCTAGACAATGAATAAGGAAAACTGTAGAAGAATCGATATATTTGAAGAACAAACAAATCTGTCTTGGAAGAAATGCAGCCAGAATGTTTCTTGGAAACCGGGATGGTAAGACTTCATTTGTCATACTTTGGACATATTATCAGGAGGGACCAGTTCCTGGAGAAGGATAATCATACTTGGTAAAGTAGAGGGTTATTGAAAAAGAGGAGCCACCCC